TGTAATAATTATTTGCAAATCTTTCAAAACATCAAACCTAAACAATGTGGTGTCAAGCAGTTTTAATGTCTTTATTTCAGTCAAAGTCCTTTGATTAAAATGAACCAAAGCAAAGATTTTTAATCAGTACAAATCTTGTACATACTTCAAATCAACTCCTTTTCTATGTGTTAGGGTGAAAAAGACCACAAAGTATGATGGCAGTTTATAGATGATATTTCATTTTTTACTTAAACGTGTCTAAACTGTAGACAAGGGGTCAGCAACATGCGCCTCTGAAGCTGCATGTGACTCTTTTACTGCCCTTTTGTGGCTGCACAAAAGAATTCAATTTTTAGGTAAAATAAAATAATCCTCCTTTGCAGTAAAAATGGTCTTAAACGCTGGAGATAATGTATAACTGCTTATTCACCCTTTAACCCTGAAGATCGGCATGCAGACTGCTGGTCACCATAGCAACACAGACAACAGTCTTTTCTAGCTAGTAGCTAAGGGAAAGGCAAAGAGAAAGATTTAAGATGAATATGGATAATTTAGAGACTAATTACTGGCATTTATAATCACTCCAGCTGGTTTCTTGATGTGTTTAATCAGCAACGGGAAACTCTCAAACACTAAATAGTTGCGAAGCTGAAGTCAGCTCCTCATTCGCCAGCTCCTCATTCGCCAGCTTCTCGTTCGCCAGCTTCTTGTTCGACTTTTCATGTTCCATCTTAAATGGTGCAACAGTTAGCTAAGCTGACTTCAGCCTTGTAAAAAGTCGGATGTTGAGAGACATTTTACAATAAACTATTCCACTTTTTTGTAAAACTTTCCTGCCGGAGATGCGAGAAAAGCTCTTAAAACAGATTCAAAGTAAGTCTGCATTTTTGGTTATATTATATTTTTTAGCATGTACTAGTACATTAGCACATACTGAGACATATTTACAGCCAAGTTGGTGAAACATTACTTCAATAAAATGGATATAAAATGTTGTGGTTCCCAAGGTGGTTACATTTTTGTTTAAAATGGCTCTTTTTAACATTTGGAGTGCCGACCCCTGCTGTAGACGAATCATTCCTTTAATGGGGGAGGGTCTTTTGATTTTGGTTTTTGTACTTCTGATGAAGGCCTTGCATGTGCACTAAAACGTTGTGCCTTTAACTCATGTTATAGAATGAGTGTTACACCTTGTTTTCCTCTGTGGAAGACTCAGCAGGGCTCTGTTTACAGCATGTGACGTGAGCAACTAAAACAAGCTTCATCCCTGCCTGACAATGAAGATGTAATGTAATGTAGTCATTTTTGAAACAAGCCCTTATAAATAAATAACAGCTAATGGAGCGTCGTCCATATAGAAAGAGATGCCTCCCCCACCACACCCCCTCCCCAGCCCCCACCTCAAATCCGTAGCAGTGTGTTTGGATGGCATGTCCTGTTAGAGCAGAGTGAATGGTGTTAAACAGGCCTTAGTGCTGTCTCAGCTGCTCAGCGCGCGGCGAGGCGTCTGATAGCTGCCTTCCTGCACTTACCTCCCTTATTGATAATGGGCCATGCTGCTGAGGATTAATGCACAGGTTGTGTAATGGAAAACAATGCAGTCATGAAGGCGCTGAGCATTCCATGATCTGTGCCCATCCATCTTATCATCAGAGAGGATTGATTTAAAAACAACACCACCTGTTAAAGCTGCTCTGAGAGCATCTAAATAGAAAAGATAGTTTTCTAGAATGTCCTGAATGTTTTTGATGCCAGTGAATTTGTCCCATACAAGTGCAGTGAAAAGTCAGGGACCTCTCATTTATTCCATTTCCTGTCAAAACAGCAACTGAGTAACAGTTATTCATTTTCAAGAGATATTTCTGAGGAGATCAGTTATAAGATAATCTACTTGCATAAGGAAGGGGAAAGTCAAAGGAAAAAAGCGTTTCCAGAGTTGGAGTTGAAAAAAAATATTTAAAAACATAGCAAAAATGGGACCCCTAATAACCATGCATGACCTAGTAGACCACCAAACTGACATCATCAGATAAACAGTACTTTCGTCTTTGAGAGATAGCAGAAAATCAAGCTCCACTCTTGCTTCGGATCTGAAAGAATCCACTTGTGTCTGTCCATCCTTCCACTGTGAGAAGACACCTCAATGCTATGGGCCTGAAAGGATGTGCAGCTGTCAAGAAGCTCAGAAAGGGAATAAACAAAAAAACAATAAATCAAACAAAGAAGCTGCTGGTGTTCTCAGAACAATGGACAGACCTTAACATCACAGAATGTGGAATCACTTGTGTTAATGATTATCGCTATTTTATTTAATAAGAACTTATACTGTGCAGTTTTAAATTATTTCTTACACTAACAACTATAATTTTTACAATAACAAAAATGTATTTAAATCATAAATAACATTTTGTAATTAGGTCTATACAGTCATTTTTTGTTGGGTTATCTATGTCAAGATTTGACCATAATTTGAAGCATTATTCTCAGTATTAATTGTAACTTCACTCTCAATACTATAGATTTACTAATTATATAATTCATATTAATTGATCACTTTAACTTAAAATGGAAAAAGTCAGACCTGAACTTCTTGACCCAGAATGTAAACTGATTGTATATTTCATTCCTTGTAATTCTAATGTAATTTAATTTACATAATTATACAATATGAATATAATTTATGTTATGCAGCTTTCTCAGTAATTACCAAATCATCTCCAGGTTTTCTCATCATTCTGAACAATCTAACCTTCATTTTTTATAGCTTCCTGCTCATTAGTGGAAACCTGTGGAGCCTAGCATGATATTTGAATCATTTTTTACAAGTATATGCAAAAGAATTGGTTTCATATAATCAAAAATATATACATATTTTAAGCTACATATACATATACATATTTTAAGCTTTTGTAAGGTAGTGCAATGTGGGTCTCATGTTCACACAATAAACTAGGGCACAGGCACGGGACTTTCCATTGAATTTGACCACCCACAATCTGATATTTCGAGCAGCAGAGGTTAAAGAGACAGTTTGGGTACTGGGCTCTTTGGCTTGTCTTTGATTGTCTGGGGTCAAACAGAGAGTACAGAGCATGCAGGCAGGCTTGTAGGAGGAGCCCTGAGAATCAACCCCTAAATCACTCACTCTACTACCACTTTCTCATCCCTCTCTCTCATCTATATTAATCTCATACGCACTTCAAATCAACATCTTTTCCGTTTTTACAGTGAAATAAACCACGCAGTATGATGAGGCATTTTAATCAATGGCATTTGATTTTTCTTTCTGCTGAAAAATTCCATACTGTAAAATAATTGCCCGCTTTTAAACTGCATCCTTAGCTTTTTGGTTATTAATTTTAAGGCTTATTATTCAGTAACAGCTCTAAGGTAACCAGGATACTTTGAAACTAGAAAAGTTATGGACACTGAAATAAGAGATTAGATTTACCTTTAAAAAATTAACATAATTTGCGCATAAATACAATATATTGAATCAACACAGTTTTGTCTTTCAGGTCACTTTTGGTAACAGTTGTGCTGATATACTTTATTCATCTGAATATAATATATATAAGTTAATTCAACACACTTTTTCATGAGAGTGAGGAGCTCACAGGAAATATGGCCTACATCCAATCTTAAATCTAAAGATGATTCTTGGCTTGTTTGTATGGTTCTAGTAAAAACATACAAGAAACATATTCAGGCACTTTTGTTTTTGTTGTTTTGTATACCTCCTGTGAATGTATTGACTTCAAATGTACACATGTAATGTCTTTGACTTTGTAAATATGAACAAAAAGTATGTATTCTTAAATGAAAAGGAAGATATGAAAGGAGGGAACTGGTGGGGAAAAACATATTCAGACCTCACAATTTAATAACATTATTATTTTGCAGCACAGCCTTTGTTGGCTCATACATTTTGGAGATAAGAAATATTCAGCTTTTTGCAGCATTGTGTTTTAATATTTGCTCATTTCTCTCAGCACACTGCCTTCAGTTGCTTATGAGGGTCCCTGTGATGGTCTCAAATTCTTCCTAAATTCACAATTGTATTCAAATCAGGAGATTGACTAGGCCAAGCACCTTCACCTTCCTTTTAAAACCTATCTTAAGTTATTTTTGCTGCATGTTTGGCTGTATAGTCCAACTTCTCCCCAGATTCAGTTTCTTGGTGGCTGAGATTAAATTCTCCTCTAATATGTTCCAGAACATTGCTCCATTCGTATTTCCTTCAATGATGTGTAATAAGTCAGGACTGTTTGCAGGGAAGCAGACCCACGTCATGATACTCCCACTTCCTTACTTCACAGTGGATATGGTGTTCTTGAGATCATATTTGCAACCCTTCGTCTTCCAAACATGGTGAGCGTAAGAATGGCCAAAGAGTTCTTTATTTGTCTCCTCTGACCAGGGCACACTGTTCTAAAAGAGTTCTGATTTGTCTACTTGCTCATGTGTTAAGGCTTGTTGTGTCTTGTCTTATAACCGAGGAGTTTTGGAATTAGGAATTGCTTATTGTTGCTTTCAGGTTGTCTTTATATGTGCACAGGAAATGAATACTTGTATCCCCTCACTGTAGAATTATATTTCAGGTGGAGGGTCTTTTAACTTTAAAAAGTTTCTTCACACTCCCACATCTCATTTATTAATACAGTCCTTTAAAGAACCATCTCAGTGAAGTGTTCAAAAGTGGCTCCAAAGAACGATCTATAGGACCCTTATTTTAAGAACGTAACCATGAGAGTGAGTTATGAGAGCAAGGCCTTTAGGGTTTGAAAAGGATTAAGAGGAAAAAGGAGGGGGGCCTGTCTGATGAGGGGCAGCATAGTCCCCCCCTGCCCCGTCTCATACACACCATACACACACACCGCAAATCTCCAATGATCCTCATCAGCAGTAGACAGGCAAGGCGGGCTGTGAACCGCTGCTGTTTCCTCTGGGGCCTCCCTCCTGGCTGGGGTTGGGGTGGGGGGGGTGGAGAACTGCAATCCCACCCAGTCAAAGTGCTCTCTCAGACACACACACACACACAGAGCAACTCTCCACAGGAAAAGCTGGAGACAGAATGCAGAGCAGCACCTCACAGCAGCCTCGGCATGCAGTGGCAGCCCAAAAGGGATCCTCCTCTACTTTGATAGTTGCTTAATTACTCATGTGATGCCACACAGATGTCTGGGGGGGGCTCCAGCCGAAAGTTCGCCCCACTCGTTCGCTGACTGACTGACTGAGTGACAGGATCCAAGGGAAGGCAGACATTTAAGGAGCGGTAGGTGAAAAACCAGGAGCCATTCATAATTTATCAGCGGAGCAGTTTACAGGCTGTCACGGATCCCTGTAGTGCCAGGCTGATGCTAAACTGTGATGCTACTTGAAGGGCTGTCTGCTAAATAGTTCTTTGTGTACCAGGTGGCGGCAGGGACTTTGAACAGGAAATGCATCTCGCCTCTGAAGTGTTTCTCTGCTGTCACCATTATGAAAAGAGGCTCGAAAGTAGTCTGAAGGAGACGGGACCTGATTAACTTTTGCTTTTAGTGAACGTTTGTCTTGGTTTTACTCTTTTGACGTGATCGCTAAGAAGAATCTTAGATCAGGAATAAGATTTTTTGCATGCTCTGATGGCTTCGCTACTTGCTTTTAGCCCTTAAATGGCCAGGAACAGCCGGCATGTCCAAACTTTTATTACGCACATCTATAACTTGAGAGTAACTCAGCCAATTTGCACTGTAGTTAGTGAATAATGAGCATTAGAGTTTAATAAGACTGACTTTTTAGGGGTTAATATGCATGTTTATAATGGCTTGTGATTAGAAACAACTGCTGACAGGTTAGAAATCCATGCATGTAATCATTTCTTGAACTTCATAAGCTCTGTCTAGAGAAATGTTACAGGTTCAGAGATTCTTAAGAAGACCATTTCTGAAAGTTTCTGATTAAATTATTATTTTTTTTAATTTCTAAATTGTATTACCTACTAAAAAGCCACAGAACAGCTGATGATAATAGCACTTCACTGTTTTACTCTTCATATTGTTTATAGATTGCGACACAAGATTGAGTTGTTTTGATCTTCTTCAAAACCTTGCGTTCTTGAGTGCTATCAGTCATTGGAGTACTTTGTGACTGACCTGCTGTGTCTAGATTCACAAACATTCTCCCCACACACAAATCCCTCTGTTGTGTAACCGGCTGTGGAGGGGTCTAAAAAGTTTGCCTCTTTCATGTTGAAGTGGCCCTTTGTTTGGGAAACCGCCAGTCCAAAATCTCAAATCAGAACCAGAGGGAGAAGAAGCAGCAAAAAATAAAGAAATAAATAAATAGAAAAGGAACAGGAAGGGGGGGTGGGGGTGGGGGTGGGGGGAATAACGCAATAGGCCTGCCACAGCACTTGTGTGCCATTAGCACCATGCCAGCGCTGATGGGTATTTGCAGGGGATGATGGGAGAGGCGACGTCTCGTCCCGTAGCATCACAGTAACTCATGCTGGCACACTCCATCTGTGCTCCTTCACTAAATCCCTTTTGAAGTTGCGAGGAAGTTTCACTGATCTGTTGTTGTACTTTTAAACAATTCTCTTTGATTTTGTCACATTCGGAAGCCCTTTCACGGCCGTGCTGCCGTTTGTCTTTGTGTGCATTGTTCCAACAAGAGACAGAGTCAAATTATGCTAATACAAAAGAAATGAAATCTGTCTCAAACTAAGATTTGCTCTAAATTAAGCCTATCTGACGTTCTTTTGTGTCTCTCCTGTCCCTCAGCCCTGCCGTGTCTATAATTGGACTCCTATCAGCTTATCTGCAGATCGGAGAGTGGAATGTGTTCAGCAATGGTCTCTACGACACTACACGTGTTGTTGCTAATGGCCGTCATGGCCGCTGGTGGAATGGCTCAGATAAACAGCACAGAGGAGCTTCCCGGCTCTTCCCAGGCCTTCTCCACCACTGTTCAGCCCATGAAGACCCACAGCGGGCCAGAGAATCTCCCAGGCCCAAGGCCTACTTTCAGAGAAGCTACAACAGGCAACAGCACCATGAGTCTGAAAGACAAGAAACGCCCCCCACCCTGTGTGGTTTCAACCTCCGTTAAGGCCGCTTTCAAGGTCATCAACACTATCATTTCCTGTGCAGTGTTCGTGGTGGGCATGGTAGGCAATGCCACCGTGCTAAGGATTATCTACCAGCACAAGTGCATGAGGAATGGGCCTAATGCCCTCATCGCCAGCCTGGCCCTAGGTGACCTCATCTACATCGCCATAGATATTCCCATAAACGTCTACAAGGTAGGCACCAAGCCCTGAACTTCTCTATCAACAGAATTTAGCTCTGAACTCCCAAAGATGCAATTAATATTTATTCAAATTATATCATAAGCCTAAGCTCTCAAGATAAGATATCAAAAACTCACTCCAAAAGTAGTGAAAAAGCAACATTTGGTGTCAAAGCTTTTTTAGGTAATTTAAGCTTATAATCTTAGTTATCTCAACTGGAATTGCTTAAGTGGTTTTTGATGCTGTATGGTATAATTTCACCTAAACATATATGACATTCAGGTCTCTGCTGCTGATTTTGGGTATGTCACATACTTTTTCCATATTTTTCTCCATAACTAAATATCTGCTGTGCAAAAATCAGAGACCACCCTTAATTTATTTAATTTCCAGTCAAAATGTTCAAGTTCAAGTTGTTCATTCCATCCCAGAAGTAAATGTAATATCACATTTCTGTATTTAATGTGTCCACTCCTCGCCTTGCCTTTATTACAGCCTATGTTCTTTCTGAGAGACGTATTTTCAGGTATTTTTCCACAGCTCCAAAGTTCAGTCTTAGAAGTTAGTTGCATTTTCTGTGTATTACAATCCAAGTAATCCCAAACATATTTCATCATATTGAGGTCTAGACTCTGGTGTGGTCAGTTCATTGCCCTGAGAACACGAGCAGCTTTTTAATATGCAACGTTTCTTCTTTTTTTCTATTTCCTTTCCTCAGTATCAGCTTCTTGACAGCTACACATTCTTTCAGACTCATAGTGTTGAGTTGTCTTCTCACAGTGGAAGGAGTTTTCTCAGATCTTAAGCAAAATTGGAGCTTGATTTTCTCCTCTCTTTTAAAGATGAAAGCTTTAAGTACTGTTTATGTGATGGTGACAGTTTTGGTGGTCTACCAGGTCTCGCACAGTTGTTAGGAGCCCCATTTTCTCAAAATCGTTTAATAATCTTTGGAACTCCAGTTTTGCTAACTCCTTTTTTTTTACTGATTTTCTTTTTCCTTTTCTGTAATCAAGTGAATTATCATCAGATTGATCTTCTAAACTATTAATAACTTGTACTTAATGGGTGCTTTAACTAGAAATTAAATAAATTAAGGCTAGTCCCTGACTTTTGTTCAATACTGTTGGTCTCACATTTCAGGAGACCATAACATATTCTAAAAAAAATGTTCATGTATAATATTTGGTTTTAATTCTTTTAAAACCAAATATTATACATATTTGTTGACTTTCGTATGTATGTGATCCATGGTGTAGCCATTTTCAGATCCTGCTTGATTTTGGAAGTTCTTCTCTCCACTCGTGTCTTCAGCATGTAAAATGCTTCTTAGTAGAATTGAGGTTGACTCTTTGACCTGGTCAGCCAAAAATGTTATACTTTGTCACTAGAAAGCTCATTTAGCAGTTGCTTTAGCGGTATGTTTCAACTTTTTGTCTTTCTGCAACATTGAGTTTTTAAGTATTTGGCTGCTGGCAGTCGCGTTATCAATACAGATCAGATTATGAACAGTTTTGTTGTTTCTCCACATTTTTCTAATTCCATCACTCTGGAACAGGTTCATCTTAGTCTCCTCTGTCCATAAAAACAGGTTTATGTACTCATCAGCAAATTGTAGCATGACATTTCTGTTCTTGAGGCTTTTCAGTGGTTTGTATATGGTAGCCATCCTAATGAGTTCAAGCTCTTCTTGTCATTATGGCAGTTATATAGCAATCTAATGCTAGACTTACATTATGGAAATTTTTTTGATCTCGTCTGTAGTTTTTCTTCACAGCTGTGAAAGTATTCTTTGCTCTTCCACTACAGTGGTTGTCTGTGTGTTCTTGTATCTTATCAGTGTACTGCACAGTTGATCTTAGGATGCCCAACGTTTAGCTCTGTCTCTGATTTATTCTTCTAATGCATCATGATGGGCTGCTTTATCGGCATTAATGCTTCTTTGGTCTTTATGTTGAAGAGAAAGCAGGGGCAGCCTCTAATGCTTCTTACAGAACTCTAGACCTTTTAGATTAGCTTTTATGATCCCCCAAAGTGGGACAGGAGAGCATAGAAGAGCTGTAATTCCTGTTTGGTTCATCCAACATAGATGTAAATAACCTTAATTTGATGTAACGCTGATGTTCTGAAAACCCCACACTGTCAGAAAAATTATACAGGGAGCAAACAATGTAAATGTGTAGATGTACTTCAAAGGTAAAACAGTGGTCATTGTTGTCATTTAAGGGTACACTGTCTTCACTTTCCCAGAGGAATGGTGCATGTATGAAATGTATGTAATAAATTCCAAATTAATTCCAAAGATTTTGCATTTAAACTCAAAAAAATGGAACAAAAAATCTTCAAATGCCCCACAACAAGTTGGTTTCCAGTATCATCAAGGACTCGACATGTGTATACCTTCTACAGTCCTTTCGAGAAGCATCTCCAGTGGCTCCTCATGAAGCTGCTTAAGAATAATCAAGAGTATGCTAAACTGCATTCTGGCAAAAGGGGTTAATTTCCAAAAGAATCTAAAATATAAGTCTATATATGTTATTTCATACATTTGGTGCCTTCACTGTTATTCTAAATTGTAGGATATAGTGAAAACAAGGAAAACCTTTCCATAAGTTGACTTTTCAGTTTAGGTAAAGTGTAGTAGCTTTTTCTGAGGGTGCCTAGTCACTATTTTATTCCAGACACATCATGCTGGAGTAAATAACCAATGAAACAAAAATTGTGTCACTGTCCAACTGACCTAATCATGCTCTTTAGTAACCACTGTTCTGAGTGTGGTCAAGCATTAAAGAACAGTGACAAAAATCACGTTCAGCCTAATAAGAAATTGTAAACTCAGTTTTATCAAAATACTTCCATTATTCATTTCAAATTTAATTTATTTTGTATATCGCTGTTGTTGGAAGAAAACCTACTTTACTTCTAATGTAAGTCAGTGGAACCAGACTTTTTTCCAAGTGATTTTGGGCTGTTTCTTTTAGTACATTCATCATAAATTACACACAATGTAAAGGACAACAGGGATTTTCAAATTATGTCAAAAACTGAAAAAACGTCAAAAATGGAGATACAAGGTTTTTTTTCCGACAACAGCGATATGATTGCAAGCACACACTGTTATAATAGATCGATAACATGACATAAGATAATATTGTAGCCTATACTCTAGCACTTTGCACTTCCCATCCTGCTGATATGAACAATATAAACTACACTCCACAAGCACAAATATTCATTTATGCCTTCACATAAAGAGTTACTGTTAAAAAAACAAAAAGGCTACTACTTAACGAGAGGCTAAACTATGCATGCATACAAAGTGTACAAATGGAATTTTTACCAACGTTCCATAAAGCTTTTTGGCTGAGCATGTGTTGATGTGTTGAGCATGTGTTACAGACTGCGCTGTATCTTTTTTTGTCTTTGTTTTCCATGAAGTAAATAAGAAACCTTATACAGTACTATGCAAACATCTTAAGCACCTAAACACATAGTTTAAAACCAATTATCTTGGCAACACTTACATGTAAAAAATACCATAAATCATTAGAATACATGCAAATAAACATAAATGCAGTAAAAAGTAGCAAGAATTTCTGGTACCACTTTTTTATAGTCCACTATAGATGCTTTGTAGATGCTCAGTCTGTCTTTAACCAACATTCAACCAAAGATCTATTAAATGTAATTACACTTAAAATTCTAGACCTCTCCTGGACACTGCATGGACTCTTTAAAAAGATGGTTCTTCAAGGGTTCTTTTGTAAAGGGACTGGTTCTGTTTTCAACCATGAATTATATGGTTCTTCGCATGGTGAATGTGTTGTTTATAGTTGTTTATGTTCCATATGGCTCAATATTGAACCTTTTTAAAAGTGTTTCTATATAGCACCAAAAAGGGATCTGCTATTGTTATGATGTTAAGCTTGTAGCAATAGAGGAACCCTTTTTGGTGCTATACAGAACCGTTTTCAAAAAGGTTTTATGCAGAACCATAAACACATTCTGTGTCAATCTGAAGAACCATTTCACCATGCAAATAACCATTTAGAACTCATGGTTCGAAACCCTTGAAGAACCATCTTTTTAAGAGTGTAGATTTATTAAATTCCATAACCAGCATTATTGTTATATTAGTGTTTACCTTATCAAATAAATACTTACTGCCCAGATAAATAGATTTGAAATTCAATTTATTTAGGTGTCTAAAATGTTTGCACAGTACTGTATATGCTGTACATGGAGAGAGGGATAAAAATAGTTCTAGGACTGAAAGTTAGAGGTTGTAAAGCAGAAGGACACAGTGTGAAATTTAACAGCTACTCAGAGTCTATCTCTCAGCACACTGTGCTGTGGTCACAGAGTGTAGTGATGAGGGCAGCAGGGATAGGGCCAGCTAAAATAAACACAGAGGTTTGGACAGAGTGCCCCAGCCTTACATGGCCTCATGTGTTATCATTTGTTAAACTCTGCTCTTATCTCCTCTCATCCTTCAGGCCAGCATTCAGCAATATCTGCTAAGCAAAGACCTGCACTGAAAAAATCACTCAGGGTTAAGAACCCGCTTACACAGCCTGTATCAGCTTATTCTGACGCAGAGTGGGCTCAAATGTGCTCCAAAGGTCATTTCTTAAAGGCGGAGATCAATTAATTCTCATAATCTTCGAGTGTGAAATAGATTCAGGCATGGAATAGAAGAGCTATTTTGGTTAGGATTTCATTGTTTTGTGTCTAATAATAAAGAGCTTTTCCACGACTAGTGCAGTAGGGAATTTGACGACAGGGATATAAGCCTGGCTTTTTCCAGTTTACACCTTTACCAAAAAGATGATTAGCTTGTTTTGTTGAAATGAAGTCCTTCTCATGTTGATTGTTATGCACTATCCCATTCAGATTTCAGCCAGTGAACTGTCTCCACTTCTGATAATGTTTCTATGTTTTGGTTGTGTCAGTTTCCTTCTTTTCAATGATAAACACACTTGTGCCAGTCTTCTCCTTTTCAATGATGCACCCTTTTTTGGGGCATCCTCGGTAACACTTTATTTCGATGGTCCACTGGAGATGCTTTGTAGATGCTCATCTGTGGACACTTCTGTAAAATACCTTAAGTACTTATTTTGAGTTAAATGCTTAATAGCTAAATTTAAAGCTTATGTTTATACTTCTGTTTAAATTTTGCAACTGCTAAAAACCGAAATGCTAAAGCAGAGGTACAAACCTCAAAGTACTAGGTAATTATTTCAGGTAACATGATGGTTAGTTCCAAGGCAGTCCAACTAAATTACACTGAAATGCCCAGCAGGTTCAAGGCATTAACTGGGTAAAAATGTGTTTCATTTAATTTCTTGCTTGAGCGTGTGGGTTTACAGTACAATTTAGTGTATGTTATCTTGACAGTCCAAATATTTATGAGGTATTTTTATTCGCTTTTGTCAGTGTAATAGCTAGAACCTCTCAGTGGAGTTTATACCCCACTTTGGAGTTTGTACCCGAGTTAATGTCTAGAATTTAGGGAACTGCTTATAGTTTACTGAGTGTCACCAAATAGTTTGCAAACAATTTGAGCATATCGCTGCTGTCAGAACAAAACCTTGTATACCCATTTTTTGCTGATTATCACTTTTTTACATAATTTGAAAATGTATGTTGGCCTTTGCGTTGTGTGTAAGCTTCTTGAAGGATGGACAAAAAGAAATGGCCCAAAATTACTTTGAAAAAAGTCTGGTTCCACTGACTTACATTAAAAGTAAAGTATGTTTTTTTCCTTCTCCTGTAAAGTTATTATTTTGGAGACATGAGGTTTTGTTCCGACAGCAGCAACATATAAATAAGTTGTAGGGCACTATCAAAAAATTGTGACTAGATCTTCAGCCTGCTAGACTTGTGTGAGTGAATAAGTGAGTGAGTGAGTTAGTTAGTTACTTACTCATGTATTTAGAAGTCTGTAAATTGTTACACGTCTCAAAATACAGTGGCTTGTTAAAGTAAGATCATAAGTTTTCTGGTCAGCAGAAATGATGAGCGTGACCTGTTTTAGATTAACGATGTCTCAGTGACTCAGTAGTCCTTCAGACGCTACTCACGCACACACTCAGTGCTCTCCTGCTATGACACACCCTTCTGTGATGAACCACTGGGCTGTGTATAAACACAGGCAGTCAGGATGCACCCGCAAAGAGTTTCCTCCCCAAACTAGAGGATGATTCCTCCTTTCCTCCTATTTAACAAAAGCCAGTTTCTATTCACACGGCACTGCCAAGGCCATTAGGCAAGCAGAACACAGGAAGATGCTTTTGTTCTTCTTGTGCTCTGCAGGAGCCTGAGGATAAAGGATGTGAAACAGGTCCAGCGAGTGGATTTCACTCTTTCTTTAACAAACAGCTAATGGCATGTTCTGCGCTGAATCCGGATCAGATTAGTGAACATATGGACCATAGAACTGAGGAAGCCAGTAAAGTTCAGAGAGAAACCTGCATCTTGTTCTGGTTTTAGGCTGACTCCCAAAAATGTTGCAGAACAGATGCTACAATGCTTCTTTTTACATGTGTATTTACATGTTAATGCACTAAAATAATAAATTAATGCACTAAAAAAATAAAATAAAAAAGATAAATAAATATTAAAGTGGTGGTTTTGCCAAAATTGAAATTTGTGCAATTTGCCCCTTACCCCAAGTGTAGTTTTTCAGCCAAGACATGTTTAATGACCAAAGTTTGCTACGTTAGTTTTGTACTGGATCTATAATGGTGATATAGCTAAAAAGGTTATGGAAATTTTGACTCTGTCTATTAGCATCATGCAAACTGCATGCCTAAATCATCACATGCTTACCTCAGCCTACCCTGGACCCATGCAGATTTATCACAGGCCTACCAAATCAAATGAGGAAAAAATATTTGAAGGGTTTTGTTACAAAATACCACTTTTTGAATACCACATTTTCTCTTTATCTATGCTATATTATGATTGATGATATGATTGATGAAATGAATACCAATGTGATATTCGTTTCAAATTTCTATATATCCTAAATTTGCAATTGAAATGAAACACATTTATTAACTTGAGCTTTTTTAAAAGAATGAAAATTGATTTGTTTCCTGTGAATGCTGTCTTTGTGTTATGGCAGTATATTGTATACATGTATATTAGCTTCTCTGCATCATTTCTAAATCTGCAAAATGTAGTCCATTCAACCAATCTTAAGCTCTGTTTTATTTCCTCAGCCTGCTTATTACTTCTTAGCTTTCATTGCTATCTGCTATTGCCTCAAGCCATCAGTTCTTTATAAACATGCCAGTGTTTGAGTTTGAAGCTGTGGTCAGAAGATATGCCTGGGGGACATGCAAAAGTGAGATCTTGTCCCCAGTAGGGTAGAGCCATTGGGCCTCATTCACCAACCATTCTTAACCCACTCTCTTGAAACTTACTTAGAGAGTTTTTATGAAGATTCTGACATTCACCAGTGTCGTCCTATTTGGGATTAGTTCTTAGGTAAAAACAGAATCTACACACACTCAAGAGCACAATGGTGTAAACAATTCTGCAGTTTAAGAACATGTTCTGAATCTGACATAGACTTTTTCTTAAAACCTTTATCAAGAAAAAACTAAGAAAAACTTATGAATGTATTGACACATGACGCCCATTGTCATCAGTAGTCTGTGAATTGGGTTCTTACAATGCTTCTTTGACTATAAATCTAAAACATTTACATCATCATCAGAGGTAAGACATAAATGATCCATTTACATTTTTGTCCCCACTGTGCTGATAATATGCTTCAGCCTAGGACGCTTGATGATTTAGGTTTAAAGTTTGCTGTGTTATTTTTGATTTGGACTCTGTTGTCTTCACTGGGTAAAAGTTGTGCTTGGGGTGAGTGGACACATGCTTTATTGTCAAGGGTGTTTGCAATGTCGGTTGTGTTAATGTGAATCCTGCATTGTAGTTGATGCTATTGCTATTGTTTGTAGTCTTGCGATTGTTTTCTACCACCATAGTATGGAAGCAGTGGAATAGGTAGGGTGATGACTGCACTGCTGTCTGGAATAGGCCACTCCCCACTTTTTCACAGACCTACACAAAAATTTATTTCTGCCTACTGAACTGCCCCAAACTGTGTCAAGGTATTATATAACCTAAAATAGACTTGCTTATGTAGTTTTTGACACTGTATAAAGTCTTTGAAACTGGAAAAAAAGTTTATTGCATGACTAAAAACAGTAGCAGCAACTGTCTTGAAGCCTGTATTGTGTCTAAATTTTTGGCAATTTCTATAGATACCAGTATGCCATACCATGTCAAAAGCCACATCAGCAAGTTTATTTGGCTATCATTTAACAATTTGATATGTTGTGAGGAGAATGTTTGATGATTTAGCTGTGCAGTTTGTACAATGCTAATTGGTGGACTATAAGCATCCATTGCTTTTTAGCTACATTAAACTCCAGTGAACATTAAGCTGCAGTGAAAAAGAAAAGAAGAAACCACAGACACTAAACATGCATTAACTACATTTGGAGTAAAAGGAAAACTGTGTAAATTTGATTGTTGGTTAAAATTGTGTTAATAGTCACTTATTGTATGCAGCATATTTACTTTCCGTCTTCCTTCACTGACTGAGCCTGATTGAGGTCTTATTCAGTAGACACTGAAAGGAAATAAACCAGTTTTATGCTTCTTTCTTCCTTGCAGCTCCTGATGAGTGAATTCCCTTTGGCTCACACCTCATTTGGTCAGTTCCTGTGTAAGCTGGTGCCCTTCCTCCAGAAAGCATCTGTAGGCATCACAGTGCTCAACCTGTGTGCTCTCAGTGTGGACAGGTATGTCAAGAGTTATATCACTGAAATCTCTGCATGTTTGTTGGAGCATGTGTTTCATAGTATGCTGTAATTTTTAAGGTGTGTGTCTTATAAACAGTAGTTCATAATCCCAGCAATGAAGACATACTGGTATGCTGCTTAATCCCTTAACCTGGCAACTAAATGTTCAGTTATTAATCTTTAAGGTTTAAAGATAATTAAGTCATAGTCATGACTTACTAAAGTGTGGGAACAAGATCATGCCTTAGTAAGCTGTTGTCTTGTTGTGTTCTCTTGTTCCCATGCCTTAATAAGTCATGGCCACGGCTTAATCATCTCATTTCCACACCTTACTAAGTCCTGGCCACAGCTTAATTATCTCATTCCCAAGTCTTACTCAGTCATAGCCACGCATTAGGATCTGAAGTAAAGGAAAAACTGACAAAAGTCCTCAGAGCAAACCTGTAGTAAAACAGCAGAGGCAGAAAATGAGTGCAACCATTAGAGGTCAGTTATGTACAATTTGATGTATATTATTTCTCACTTTTTGTTCACTGATACAAGCAGGATTGTTGAAAGGGAAGATTCTATACCACATTTGAGGTTGTGTTTCAAGTTGTTATTGTGCATAAAAGCCTATTTTGTAGATAAACAAACATCCTTTACATGTTTGCCATGTTTTATCATTTTGCACACGAAAACAAACAAAAATGACCATCCGTACTTCTTGTTAACAAAGAGTGTGAATCAAATGTTATTGTAACACATTGTAATTCATTATGTAAGTATGTGATTAATTATCTGTCTTGTAATTATGTTTAAACCACACACAAGAAAAATATCCCCTGACATGAGAAGGTTAAAATGATAGACTGATATTTAATATTTAGGCTAAGAGAGACAAAGAACTGTGATTTATTCTTTTTGTCTTCTTCAGTTTGGCCCATTGAACTTTCCCTCATCTGATATTTCACCCTGAGGCCAGGCTGAGGTGAAGGAGCAGGTTTTTGGGGATCGGGTTAGTGTTGGGGTCAGACTCAGGGCAAATGGTGGAAGGAGGAGTAATGGTTTCAAACTGAGGTTTATATTGTGCCCTTTTACTCTTGTGAAAAAGTGTGTGTGTGTGTGTGTGTGTGTGTGTGTGTGTGTGTGTGTGTGTGTGTGTTTTATCCAAACAAGAACCATGAAGGCCTACATAAAACCCTATACATCTATACAGAGGCACCCCATTCACTTCATGCAGTCTATAGTCTTATGTGTCTTGTAGCTTGCGCTTTCTCATTTGCTCAGTACCTACCCCAAATCAGGAACACATGGAGCTCGCTGAGCCGAAGGTTGTTTTCTCAACCCAACCAAATGGAAAGCATGCCCTCTGACTTCATATATTTTCATTGTGACATCAAACATATGCTGTGCTGACATTAACATTGCCTGGAAATATTCACATGGAGGCAACATAGATGAATCTTGTGGAATAAGCAGCTCATTAGCTGCAGTCTTTTGTGTAGTGCAAGCACATGAAAGTTGAGTTATTCAAGGTAAAGTTAGAAGGCAAATGTTTTTTTGGGTTTTTTTGTAGTTTGTAGTTGTTTGCTACTAAATTTAAATATAATTACTATGTAATTACATGTAATTACTACATACTGTATAATTACATAAAATATACTGCTTTATAAAAGTAATTACACAGTTCATTATGTAAAGAATTTATATTTGCTCTTTTGACTTTTTTCCAGTTTTTCAAAGCATTCAAATCATAAAAATCACACCTTCTCTGCTGACAAATACAAATGTGTTATGGATTGAAAGTTACGAAAGAAATTCTCAGCCACTAGTAAGAAGCAATATCAAATTACACTGTGCTTTTGTTTTTGACTTCTTAGGCAGTAGTAATATGACTTTGTGTACAGCATAAATAGATGTGTGAAGATTATCTTTTTTCTCTGTGACAAGTTTAATGGTAACTTACAAAACTACTTAATCTCAAGCTTTTCATGCAGTGGCTTTGTAAGAGCAGTTCCCATGAAATGCTCCCAAGGAAAGATTAATGGATTTGCTCATTCGGGGTGGGGTTAGGGGGGCAGGATGCTGGGTAGTCAGGCCTCTGGTTCAATCAGAGCAGTCCCACAAGTTTGTAAGGTCAGCTGTAATGGCCACCTCTTCCTCTTTGGGGACCAAATCTGCCCTGCAAAAGTTTGAGTACATGCTTCCAGTAAAACATCCACATTCAGCTTGTCTATTTAGACAAATAAAATAGTACAACTTACTTTTTTAAGGTTTCTGAAGCTTTGTTGGATGTGTTTCTTCATTTGTTCTTCAAAATGTTTGACTTATCAGCAAATCACTTACTGTAGACAAATGGAACATTAACGTAAGCAAAGTTTGTCTGTTGTTTTTATTGTTTAAATCTAAAAAATTTACATCTGAAGCAGTGTTTTAATACTTTTAAGATATTGTTGTTGCACTGGCTCCATCCAAATATTATGTCAAAGTAGTACACCACCAATAGGACATTCAGCTGTGTAGTATGTGTAGTATGGTAGTATGTGGTTTGGATGCAATTTTGTCAACAAATCACTATTTGAATAGTTTTGAATTTTAACTATTATTACTTGTGGCATGAGAACTCATGGGTTTCTTCACATTAACCACACTAACAAAAAATCACAGGGCAGGACAGACAAAGGCAGAAACAGAGCAAAATTGTAGTAAGAATACAGCGGGCTGACCATGTGCTGGTTTTGCAGAGTGAGCCGTCTTAAGGATTTTGACACATGTGTAAGCGCTCCTTGCCATTGGGAAGGAAATGCAAGACTGGCTTAATTTCGTCAGTACACAGCTGCTTTTGATTTGTTTCCAGCCAGCAATGAGGAAATGTTGAGCATATCTTGTCTGATTCATATCCCCGAGTAGTGTTAGTCTGGCTGCTTTTTCTTCCCCCGCTGTTCGAGCGTTTAAAAGGTAGATACAACACCACTTAGTAAAATAGTAATGCCCCATTGTTGTTAAACAGGAATATTCAAGTGTGTCATGAAAAATATATACTTACATATAAAATCTTGATGCACCATTTCATGGAAACATCCACTCGAGAGGAGTTATTAATGAAACAGACAAGCAAACACGAGTTTGAGAAAAGGAAAAACAAGCAGACTCCTAAACCAGCCAGTAAGCGGCTTTCTCCAAACAATCACAATGAGTGAGCGTCACCGCAATATTAACACACGAACACTCTTTTCATTAAACTTAAATCAACCTTTCCTGTTGCTGTGAGTCAAAGTCAACATTTGAACTGTTCTGCAGCTGTGTTGCTCTGCTATTGGTACACTTGGTGCAGTATAAGTCCCTGTTTGGTTTTAATTTACAGATCTGATTGAGTCCTTAAACTGGTGCTCAGGTTCTGGACATCTGCAAAATTATAACAGCATGATACTCTTCAGGATACACAATATGCGTTAAAATATTTAATTTTTCTGAGGTTTGCGAACAAGTTGGAACAGCAATGACCTCGTTTTCAAGAGTTTTTCAATATCTGTGATCTCCCAATATCCATGATAGATGCTCAGAAAAGTGTACTATGAAGTGTTTTATCATAATAATATATTGTCATATTGTCCTGTTACTCTGGGGGATCCCATGTTGACTGGCTACTCCAGCCTTGGCTGGCTGCTAACTTGCTTGCCATAGTGGTGCTGATGCTAGCTTCAATTGCAACAAAATGTTCTTGTTTTCCTTTCTAGCCACACATTAATTGAGATTTTACACACTTCCCTTTTTTGTCTTTGGTTTTAGAAATAACAATTCAATCTTTTAACCCATCTATTTGGAAATTGGGTTTTCAGAGTTGCTAATATGCAATGGCATATTGTAAAGGTTTTTAGAGTTATCCTGTGCGTAGTTACAGTTGCTAGGCTATGAAGGACCAATTGGGTGAACCAATTTTCAACAGTGCCACCCTGAGGCAGAACAGTGCTGTATCACTAGTTAGTTGCCAAAGAATGCCAAGAACAGAAGCTCACCATTCTGTGAGTGAATCAGGCTAAACAATGATCTGAATTTGCATATAGCATAATTCATATATTATGTGATTGCATATAACAAGATAGAATAATGTCATAATAAGTTAATTGATTTTGAGATATTCTGGGGGTCCAAGAGGTTAATTAGGGGGTTCAGAATCTCCCCTGTATTTTGCATCTTGAGTAAAACAAGAATACAGCTAGAAGAACACAGGTTTGAACTTCATTTATCAACTCTGCCGCTATCTCTTCATCACTGAACTTTCAAGTCCTGTTTTGTCGCAAGCTTGTTGACAGCTCCATTATTTCACTGTTCCATTTCAACCCTGCAACTCATAAATGAGAAGTTAGTGGGCTGAGTTACACATAATTTGCATGATGAGCTTCAGGCTTAGGGCCACTGCACACCAAACCATACCATCCCATCTCGTACACTGACCAAAATGTGAAAACACTGGCCGCTTATTCACACACTATTTTTTCTTAAAACCCACATACACAGTTTTCATGAAGATTCTGACATTCACAAATGTTTTCTTATTTGGGCACAGAAGTGTGAACAGTTCTGCAGTTTAAGAACACTTCATGAATCTGATGTAGACGTTTTCCTAGAACCTTTCTCAAGAACAAATTTAAAAAACAACTTGAGAAGATATTGGTGAATGAGGCCCATTGTTTTTAAGGTACAGCCCATTGTTTCTAAGGATTTAAGGTACACATGTCGGCGCTGACATTCCAACTTCAAGCTCTGTTCAGTTTCTTAGCGCATCACAGCACACCACTCAGAATTTCACTATTCCTAAATCATATTAACCCATTTACCCCCAAAGACTTAAAAAGTACAGCAAGGAAATTGCCCACAGAGTTTTGTTCTGTTTGACAAATAAGCTCAAATTTTGTGTCAGGCCACTTTTTGATAACGCTTATGTTTCACATTTCTAATATTATTTTAATTAAGCCTGAATTTTGTAAAAACAAGGAAGGATTCCAAAACTAACTTCAGACAATACTTTCTGTCATGAAGCTCACATATGTCCAAAACCATATATTCTTGCAATTTGACTTCTTCTGAATTAGGTGGTACCATTTTTTGTACATTTCTACTACTACTTTGTAGTTTTCAAGTGAGAGCCATTTTCTTATTGTACCTTTGAAGTCTTTGCTCCAAAAGGGTTATTTTTCCTGTAAATTTTGCATATTTTCAAGAAAATTAATGTTCCATTCATCTCAAATTGATCATTTCTCATGGTGTAATAAAATAGGCCAATATTTCAACAAATCATCATTTTAATTACCGCCACACACATCCACACACACACACACACACCGTGGCCTTCAGTAAACTGAATAGTAGTTTCAGAAGCATTGCGGCCGCATATTGTGGTTGCATCAAGGTACATCTTGTGCTGCACATGTGCTCGTACGTCTCCCTCTGTGTGACTAAGACAAACAGCTGATATCATGTCTCACATTAAACAAGGTGGCACCAAATTGAGCTTATGTGAAAATATTTCTACAAACAAAAATGTTCTAAATATGTACAGTGTAAACGTGACTAAGCGCTATCGTTCTAGCATATAGTGACAGTGTTTAAAAGCCTGTCCCTACTTCTGAGTGAGCGTTGCTCCATGCTGTCGGTACATGTGTTCTGAGTTTGTGTTGCTCCCTGTTGCAGGTACAGGGCTGTAGCTTCATGGAGCCGTGTGCAGGGAGTGGGGATCCCCTTACTGACTGCTGTGGAAATCGTGGTCATCTGGGTGCTGTCCATCATCCTGGCTGTGCCGGAGGCCATAGTGTTCAACACGACATCCTTCAACTACAGCAACACGCAAATTTACACCTGCATGCTTGTACCCACATCCACCTTCATGCGTGTAAGGCTTTACTACTGAAATATAAGCAATATACTCTCTTCATACAGTGTATATGACAGATATATAATCTCATTCTGTTCTTTTGTATACAATCATATGTTAAATATTGATAGCACTTTACTGGATCACTAATTAGTGGGTAGAAATATGATAATTGTATTGTAAAAAGAGGTGCTTGAACATTATATGCTAAGGTCTAGTTGTCACTAAATAAGTTATTAAGGAATTGTGGTGGCTATTAATTGGTAATGAAACAGAATTACCCATAAATAATGCTTTTGTTATGTCTTTAAATGCTCAGCTGCAGTGGGATGTACAGACACAGTTACAGGCTCTAGTTAAAGTGAAACTAAAAGGTACAGGAATTACTGTGTCTCACATGCTGATAACATCAGTTCTACAAAATAATGTGGGTAACTGCACTGAACTGATGACAAAGCCACTGTGCTATAATCATGTACAGTTGCTCTATTACTATCACATAGAGGCCCACTTACAGACAAGCGCTGTTACTCAGATTCAGATGAGGTAAATATACAGATATTACACAGAATCAGGGTTGGTAAGAGCAATATCACATGTTCCTTTTGCATTACCTGTAAACTAAATACTGTTAATCTGTTATAGAGCACAAACCTGGCCTCTGAAATTAGTTCAAAACTCAAATCACATCCAACATATCTTTATACAGCATGTTTATTTTTCTTTATTTTAACTTATTATTTATTAGCAACTAGGAAATTAGCATGTAACATTTAGGTCAGAACAGCTTGTTACAATTTTTTTCCACTTTATTAAAGTCACTGTTAAAATTACTAACCTATTAATTGGTAACAACTTTAAAATTAGCATGTAATTTTTAGGTAAGTATAACTTGTTGCCATAATATTACTATATTATTACCCACTTACTACTGATCTGCAAAGTGCTACTTAAATATTTATGAACTTGACACCAGAATTTTAGGTGTTTTATTCAATATTAATTAACTAACTTCTTGGTCATCGGTGGATTGTGAGCTCAAATCCCAACAATTTCTCAGGGGTCTGAGAAAAGGGCTCCCCCTGAAATTAATAAATGCTAATAAACGCTGCGAAAACAATTAATCAGACCCTTTTTTGCCTTCGTCTTGCTCTAATAAGAGTGAATTACCTTTGAGACAAAGGCTTGTGATAGGGCTGATAGGACTAAAGAACAAGAATGAGATGGGATGGTGGTGGGGACTGTGAAAACTTCACGGAAAAACAGAAAGAAGAGATGGAAATTTATAGGGCACTAGATTGGAACGAGCAGGGCTTTCAGGCATAGTCCTGCTCCCAAATTTTAATTATTCCATAACACCATTTTGATTCCTATGCCTATATGAATATGAACCATCATCATGTTTGAAAGATCAGATCTGAGCTAATTGGGTTCATCTTTTCGTTTAAAGGTGCTTGAAGTCAGACTTATGTACAGAACATACATAATTGTTTCTATGTTGTATGATGAATTTTGTACCATAATGATATTTCTTTTAACTAAAGGCAAAGGACCACATATGAAAGTGGCTCAAAAGTAATTTGAAAAGATCAGACTTGTGTGTCCACACAACTTGGAAGAATTCAGATCTGTGTCACATTAAGGCAAAAGATCAGATTTGTACCACTTCAGGCTGGTAATGTGAATGTAGCCTTTGGGAGAATGTGGAAACAAAGTAAAAGCCCAACAATATATAAGCAATTTTAGCTAATATGGAGGCAACTACATTCACTGTTTTGTTTTGTTTTGTTTTGTTTTGTTTTGTTTTGTTTTGTTTTGTTTTGTTGTTTTTCAACCCATTAGATGGCCAGGGCCCACCAGTGATCCCAAAGTTTTATTAAACCCTTCTATAATCTAAGAATAGCTCAGCCAGTTTGCACTGAAGTCCCTGTAGTTAACGAATAATAAGCCTTAGTATGTAATAAGCCTGTGATTTTAATAGGTTAAACAGTTGGTTTACCTGACTGAGATGCAGTACTAAAGAACTATGTGTTCGCTTTTGACTAGACTAAGCTGGTAGAACTCAAAAAATCTGTTCAGTGAGTTGCCCTATAATGTTAAATTGACCTGACTTCACTTTTTTAATGTGTAAAACGAATAGAAAACGACTTGTTTAGGACAAAAGGAAGATGAGGATACAGAAACGATGTGTGAAAGCTCACAGGGAGTATCTGGAGCTCAGTTCCTTTGTTCGCGAGCCTGGAGAAGCTAATTGATAGCAGACCACATGTGCAATTACAACCAGCTATCTGTTCCAAAACACAGCCATATGTGTGGATGAGGAACACATAGCCCTTTCTCCACATGACATCCACCATAAAACTCATTACAGCCATTTACAGCCGAGCATTCATGGTTTTTACAGGACGTAAATATTCCCATGTAGGCCGTGCCCATCATGATCAAAATCTTATCAACTACTCAAGTTAAGCTACTCCAGTGGCTTTGTGTAGAGCCCTGATTGTATGGAAGCAATTGTTATTCGGTGTAGTATACATTTATACTGATTCTTTTGTTGCTTTATCATAGTTCATATCTTTCCAAGGTCAATTTCAGCAGTTCACATGTCTTTTAATCTTAAAGCCTTGGAGCCAGTCTAATGTACAGCACACACATAATTGTTTCCATGCTGTATGATGCATTTTTGTACTGTTATGATATTTGTTTGTAGCTGAATATACACTTACTGGCCACTTTATTGGAAACACTGTCCTTGTAGCACTTTCCTGGAGACTGTCGTTGCACACCCTTTATTAATGGACAGTTTCTGACCACAGAGCCACTCTAGGTAGAATATTATTGGGTGCAGGACTACTCTCAACCTAGCAGTGATGCTGACATGTGTCAAAGCCTTTCAGTACACTCCACACACACTACCAGTCAGTGTGCTGAGAATGATCCACCACACAAACAATGTCTGGACACCAGCAGTCCTGTGATCAGCACCTAACCAATGATGAATGTGTTGGAGGGCAGCTTACAAACTGTGCAGCAACAGATAAGGTGCAATCTGTAACTGCACACCTTCTTAGCAGACCTACAGCTGTGTGCAAAAGTTTAGGCACACCTGGTCAGATGACATGTTTTGTTTATAGTCTAAGAGGAAATAAGTTAATACGTCCTCTACAGAGAACACGCCTCTGCACATTTTTTGCATAATTTAAAAGCTCCAGTTACACTTTATTATTATGTTCAAATGTCATGGTGAACAGACTAATAGAAATGTTCCAAAATGACATTGAAAAAAATGTGTTTCCTAAACTTCTATGACAAATTAAGGTCTTTCCTTCTCTTGTAAAGTTGGCTGTTTTGAGATAAAAGGTCATATTGCAGTGCCTACTTGTTTCATGGTTTCTAATATGTAAAGATTTGCAGAAAAATGCCAGATTCAAGTTCATTGTAGAGCATGCACTGGAAAAGTGATAACATTATTAACATTATTAAAACATGTCAAATGGCTGCACATGAACAAATTGTATTACACGAACACAATAATTGGCAAAACAAATATACTGCGTTGATGTGACATATTTTCTTTGTATGCAACCATTTGACACAATACAATCATAAACTATTGTTTTAGTGCATGTTCACTAAAAAGAATCAGCAAAAACACATCATTTGACCAGGGGTATTTAAACTTTTGCATACAAATGTATGAGCTACGTAAAGCTCATAGAGTGCCCAGTGAGCGAAAGCACATGGTATGTGTTTGTAATAAGGTGCTTGTTGGATGACTCTTCTGCACTGTTTTCTCTGTCTCCAGCACTACATTCAGTGGAAGGACTGGTGGCTCTTTGGCTTTTATTTCTGCGTGCCACTGGCCTGCACGGCCTTTTTCTACACCCTCATGGCTTTCGAGATGCTTAACCACCGGAAAGGAAGCCTCCGAATCGCTCTAAGTGACCACCTCAAACAGGTAAAGCACACTGATTTGTGTATTCTTCTTTTCTGACTGTTTCTGACTTTGTTCTCATGGCAGACTGGCTTTGTCCCACTGCCTTTATGTATCATCACAAGTCTAAATGAATTCAGTCCAACTCAGACTGAACTGTAAAAATTCTCATTTATTTTGGAACCAAAACTAAATCTTCTACTGGGTAATAGCAAAGGAGTCATTCTGTAATTGCAAGTGCATTTAATGTGCATTTTATTTTATGATGTGTGAGATACAGTTGTGTGCAAAATTTTAGGCACCCCATCACAATTACTGAGCAATTACTGTTTATTTGCCAAATTTGTTTATGGCAAATTTTATATTTTATGCTTTGTTTTTCTAATATATTTAACTCAGCAAATAAGTAGAAAACTAAAATTAGCAGAAAAATGCTAAAAATATATTTTTTTATTTGTTCCCTTTAGAGAATGCGTTAACTATCCTCTCTATATAAAATAAAATAATAAAAAAAAAAACATTTTCATTAAAAAAAATCTACAAAACATTGTAATGTAATTTTTATGTATGTTCAATTCTGATCACATTTTATCAAATAACATGACTACATATTAAATAGTCCACGGAGAGGCTTTTATTATTAAACATTTCATCCATGATGCAGGGGCCAGATTCTCAAAGCTTCTAACAACAGCTTACTAACAACAGCTGTCATAACAGCCCTATGGCCTTTGTAACCTGAGACCACTCTGTGACCAGCTAGCAACCTTTCCTGTGCCTCATTCTCTAAAGAAGGATAGGAGATACTATGGTAGTGGTGGCAAAACTACTGGGCCAAATCTTAAAAGTAAGGTGGCTGACAGTGTATACAGAATACAGAAAACATGGTTATTCTTTTATTTTTACTGCCGTTAAGCAAATTCAGCCTTTATCTGGGCCAAATATTTTCCTGTAAGAAGTTTGATGGCTTTTCAGGATATTTTCAATGTTGTTTACAATAAGTGGGAGTGTTCTCTGCATGATGTTGTTAAAAAGATTATCAAGATTTCCTGTTTGAAGATTACCAAAATCCTGTAAAATCTGGTTTTAGATTTACAGTCACACCCACAGATAAGACCAGTCATGTGACAAAATGGCACTCAGAATGTTTTCAGAATCACTGGAGCAGCCAGTTCTGACCAAGGCAGGGAAGATACAATGGTCTTAGTAGGTTATTACTGTCCTAAGTGCTTTGAGGAACCAGCCCCAGGATGAGACGGATGATCATTAATCACTCTTGACCCACTCTTGACCCAGAGTAAATGACATCATGTGGTGCAGGTCATGTGATACTGGGACAAACCATTCCTTTTTTACTTTTTTACAGGCAGCTTAATTAATGACAAACACAAAAATGAACTATTGTATTTGCAAACGATGGGCTTCATTCTCCAATATCTTCCTTAGTGTTTTCTTAAATGTGTTCTTGAAAAAGGTCCTAAGAAAAGTCTTAAACTGCAGAATTGTTCCCAGCTTGTGCTCTTGAGTCTGTGTAGTTCTTACCTAACAAATCGCATATAAGAGAACATTGATGAACATCAGAATCTTTGTGAAAACTGCATAAATGGGTTTAAGAAGAAGTTTCTTTTTAAGAACAGTTGGTGGATGAGGTCCAAAGCTTCTTTGTTATGATTGTCTTCTGATGGTTAAGGGAAAATGACAAAAAGAATCAATATTTAAGGTAATTTCAAAACTTTATTTTGGGCAAAATTGAAGGCAAGACTTCACTAAATTAGAAAAACAAGGGTTTGTAGTGAGATCCACCTTTCTACTTTTATTTAAAGTCAATGATTTATTCAAGATGAAAACATGTTATTTGTTGAACAGTGAGTGTGTTTACATGCACTTATTAATCCAATAACTGCAGAAAATCAGATTTTGTCAGTAGTCCGATCAACGCATGTATATGCACTTGAGGAATCAGATAATGGGAAAACTCCTGGTCTACACGATTCAGGCAGTAATCAGATGTTCGCTTTGAAACCGGCCAATAAACTCACAAAAGAAGATGTGATGTAAAAAAAAAACATTGCGACACTTCACCTGAAAATATGAACATACATCATCAAGAAGGTGACGAATAAATCCAGCTCTCTTTATTGGATATCTTAATCGGATGGCTAGACCTTACAATGATCTAAGAAATTGGAGTATGCTGTTTACATGAGCACATGAATAATCAGATAACTGCAGAAATACGATTATGGTTGGATTATTGAGTGCATGTAAATTATGCATTAATATAATAACTATTAAAATGTATAATTTAAAGTGCATTAAAAGTGCATCCCATGGACAAAAAAATACCAATTCTATATATAAAGGAGTTTTTAATGTAATCTAAATAATTATGTTTTTGAGGATGATGATGGAGTTTTGGGTTTTATGTCCTGCAGAGACGAGAGGTGGCCAAGGCCGTTTTCTGTCTGGTGCTGATCTTCGCTCTCTGCTGGTTCCCCCTGCACCTCAGCAGACTCCTGAAGAAGCTGATGTACGATGAAAGAGACAAAAACCGTTGTGAACTATTGAAGTGAGTGGAAATCAACTCCTTTGTCCACAATTCATACATTTCCTGCTGCTGCTGATATTCAGTCCACAGAGTGACCTGGTGTGCTTCACGCATTGTTTCTGAACACTGAGTAGCATCTTGGAGAAACTGCAGTAGAAGACGTTACATTTACATTTATAGAATCTAGCAGAGGCTCTTATTTAGAGCGACTTACAAAAGTGCTTCAGTGTCCACTCAGATATTGTATCATAGCTAATACAAATAGGTTAGAGTCCAAAATACCCTTGAGCTAAGACGCTGCCAGAAACAAAAGCCAGTACTGATAACTAGAAATAAAGATAGAAAATGAAGACATAGCATAAGTGCAATTCAATGCATTTTAGTAAGTACTTAGGTTAGTGTTCACTTAAGTGCTTCACAAAGAGATGGGTCTTCAGTTTGCATTTAAAAACCGTGAGGGAGTCTACTGTTCAGACAGCCAGTGGAAGTTTGTTCCACCATCTGGGTGCCAGGACAGAGAGGAGCCTTGACGCTTGTCTTCCATGTGTCTTGAAGGATGATGGCTCAAGCCAAGCTGTACATGAAGCTTGAGTATAGATCAAGTTTTGACCATTGTTATGAGGCAACTGCCATTGCCATGAAGTAGAAGTTACTAAAAACATGATACTAATTGGAGCTTTAACTAGAGCTGATATTTTGGTCCAAATCCAAATACAGATCAACAATTTTGGGTCTGAGCTTGACCTGAACCAACACACAGCCCTGTGTTTTGTGTCTGAACTCAACCCAAGCCAAACAAAATTCTCTCCAAACCCGAACCACATCATTGTAATGAGTCTGAAACTGACCCAAGTACAGCAAAATTCTCTACAAAACTGATCTAAACTGACCATACACTACCCAAAGTGTCAAATAAAGTCTAACAGTACAGCCCTGATTTCCATGTAGTGACAAAAATAGCCATAATTAGAATACAGATAAATAAAATATAAGGAGATATAAAATAATACAGGTGTCAGAACAAAGCCTTGTACCCTTAACTTTCAATGGAAGTTAGTGGAGAAATTATTACAAGGATACAAGTTAATGTACTATAGTGAAATAGTCAGCTGTCCAAACTGAAGTTTAAATTAACCTTTACCTAATGAATTCATCAACTAAGGCTTTTGAGCAGCATCTCCAACTGTTTTTTAGTGTGGATAAACCTTCCATACTGAACTGTTCTCGCTACAGTGAGATATTAGCTTCACCTGTTTAATCCTAAAACTCTGTTTCTGCACAAAGAACATAAAAATATTTTTGGACAAACAAATCAAACATTCTTTTGGCTGTGCTAAATTGTACCTTCCTTTATTGATTCACTATTTATATCCTGTTTTCTCATAAACATAGGCCTCATGGACCTCAGTGCTGAGTGACTTTAATTAAAGCAATTTAAGGTTGTGAAAGTAGTTAAGAACAATAGAAATCTATGTAAATCTGTCAATAGGGAGAAATCTGTGAGAACTAAAACATGAAAGTATTCAGGTCCTGTTAAGTTTGGACAAATATTTCAAGCTCTAATACTAATATCCACAAAATATAATATATAACCAGCTGCCATAACAATCGACAATAAATGACATTTATTTTTTTTCAGCTTCCTGTTGATCATGAATCATTTTGGCATGAACCTGGCCACTGTCAACTCCTGCATCAACCCCATCATCCTCTACTTCATCAGCAAGAAGTTCAAGAATTGCTTCAACGTGAGTTGCACCATTCACCCATTCGCGAACATGCTAACTCTAACTGGCTAACACGTGCTAAACATTAATGTTGCTCCCTCTGAATGGGCCCCTCCAACCTGAAAGCTGCTGATCTGAAACATTCCTATGGGAAAAAGTAAACCTGTGCTTTATTTATGGAGTCATTTAGAGATCAGGGGGGATCACGTCATGCATTGTGCCAGAAGAGCTAAGAGAGCTAAGTGATAAGCCATGTCTGATGCTAAACCTCACATGTGACTCTAAACATCACAGGCATACATAGAGATAAGAGTGAGCAGGACTCACTGTGGAAAAGAAGCTAATAATGGGTCATGTGTTATCAAAGCCAATGTGTCTTAAAGCTGCAATCAGATTACAGAACAAAGGGGCTCATCATTGAATTTTCCAAAAACCTGAGGTGTGTGTGTGTGTGTGTGTGTGTGTGTGTGTGTGTGTGTGTATGAGTCAGCTGGGGGAAGAAGAAGACATAGTTCACATTCAGCTGGAATCACAAATTGATGTTGAACACATAGAAAGCATGTTGTTTGGCATCAATTTTTCCTGTAAATATTGATATCTGGTGTAGTCTAGTATGAAGTAGAGGTCATACTGCAATCAGCTGACACTTCCCCACCTCCTCACCATATACATAGCTACAGGTACAAGAATTGACTGCTATTTGTTGCACACAGCTAGAAAGACTAGCTTAGTACAAAGCAACAGAACTAAAACACTATATCTCCTTAACGTTACATTTATGATGTTATTACAATTCAAATATAAAAAAATCCTGCCTTCCGCCCAATGACAGCTGGGATAGGCTCCAGCACCCCACCGCGACCCAGAAGGATAAGCGGTTTAGATGATGGATGGATGGATGGATATAAAAAAAAAACATTTTTGAAAGTAACTAAAGTATGTTAGTACAGATTTTCAGCATAAGTGTTCAGCATAATTTTTTCAAGTTTGTCTATTTTATTATGATCCCCCTCTTAGTGGTGGTGAGCACCATTTTGATGCGTGTAAAAACTGTTAAAGATGTAAACACTCATCCCACAGCGAGGTGGAAGCCAATGACATAGCAGAATTTTGGGGTGGCAGATTTTGGGAAGGTGGGCACCACCTTGACCACCCTTTTAAAACCACGCATGGGTGGTACACTTCCTCCAGTCACAAAATACAGTCGCTTAGGACACATTAAAGATGCATGGAAATGCCAGGTGTAAACAGTTACAAGTCTCGCTGTCCACTTGATCAGATCACTGTGTGAACAAGGCCAGGGATATGTAGGTTGCTTGTATGAAAAAAACATTTAACCTTTTTTTAACACCCCTGTTCAATTACATGTTTTGTTGAATTTTCTTTTAAGTGAAAATAAATTTTAGCGCATTATTTTAGTTTAACATATTGAAGAAAAATAAAGCATAGCTTATAAAAGGTGCCATAACTTATGCACTGGCCACATTTAATGTTTTCCACTTTTTATGCTAAATTCAGCAAATAAACATGATCACGCGTTATTGTGCGTTAAAATGTGCAGAAGTGTGTTCTCTGTAGAGGATGTAACTTATGTTCACTTAGTAAATCAACAAAAACATGTTATTGAAGTGTGCTCTCCCACACATGTGGTAACCACCTCTGGTAACTTCTTCATAATCCTAAACAATTTTAATTTGTGTTTTAATCCCACCAGTCTTGCCTGTGTTGCTGGCGCCGCTCCAAGAGCCAAGGCACCAGCTTAAGCCCAATGAACGGCACGAGCATCCAGTGCAAAAACCAAGAGCCCAACAACCACACTGATCGCAGCTTGCGCAAAGACAGCGACTGATCCGCGCAGCATGGCGCCGCCTGTGGCCTGGAGGACCCGCTGTGATTCGTCTGTACCGAGCTTTGTTGACAGGATGAAAGCCACCGCCTAGTCCAGCTGCAGACCTTGACATGTGAAGCCTTAAAGACAAAAGTGCAGAGGAAACTAGTGCTTTTCTGTGCCGGGCACAGTATGAAAAGAAGCTGCTTTTATATTTATATATATCTATATATATAACCAACCACAGACTAGACAATGGGACTGATGTATTTAAGGTCATGTTCCCAGAAGCTTCTGGAGTGATGTTTTGCCGTGAGAGAGAAGGCAGAGGGTGGAGGAGAGGGGGCAGGATGCAGCTGAACGTCAGCTATAAATGAACTCCAATCAGGGGCTTAGCATGTTTGGCCTATGAACACACAAACACTAGGACCTGCACACACACAAACACATGTGTGGGCTGTGCACACTTTCTCAAGGGGCAGGAAACTGAAGGAAGGAAGAGTTGAGTGGTGTGTATGACGTTCTCTGCATGTGAATTTGGACTAAGCAAAAGAGGCCACCATCACATATTTTCCTGATGCTGCTCAGGACTGAAACTCCCAATTGGTCTCTAAATATGGACCTAGAACATCTGATGGACTTTATATCGTGCCTGGGAAGCTTGATCTCACTTATTTAAAGCCACCCTGATTGCATCAGACTGTTGAAACAGTTGGTAAGATGGACGTCGCTTTTGTTTATTGAGGTGGACTGGATTCAAAGGGCTAAGTCTTGTTATTTACAGTGCTTTGAAAAATGTATTTGCTTGCTCAGTGATTTTCTTCATTTTATCATGCTGTTTCTTCTCAGATCCTTAATGGATCCAGAGACTATCTGAATTAGAACAAGATGCAGTGTTCAGTTTCTGGATAACAAAAAAGAATCATCCATCTGTCTGTGTGCAGAACACTGCTGCAGAACTAGGCAAACATCCAGGTGCTCTTTCTCAAAGCTAAGATAAGCTATTTCTGTGAAATTTAGTCATAATCAGTTCTCACCCAGCTAGGTCCTGCTTCCCCAACACAATGCTACCAAGCGGTAAGGGTTAAGGCCAGCATTTGAGTTCGCTGAAAAATGGTAAGCACCACCACATCTTTTCAAACTGCTGCAAACGCAGCATCATTGGACAGCATGCTTGCAGGACAACTATAATTCTTTTATGTCAGCTAACTGACGCCAACATTGGCTGACATCGAGCTGACCAGAGAGGGAGGGCAATCCTACCCAAACAGAGAAAGTGAGGCCAGTCATGCTTTCTTGGCATTGCTTGGAAACGACTCACAATCTCCTGATGACAGGATGAACGTTTAGACTAGTGGTCACCAACCCTGGTCCTCGAGGACTACCTTCCTGTAGAATCTGGTTCCAACCTCAATCTGCCACACCTGCTCCAGCTAATTTACTTATTCTGAAGTTCTTGATTGGCTGAATCAGACGCATTAGTGCTGGGTAAGCATGTTAGCTGGAGGTTGGGACTAAAATCTGCAGGAAAGTTGATCTCTAAGAGAAGAGCTGAGGACCACTTGTTTTGATGGTTGCACCTCTCGAGAGCCTGAAGTTAACTGGCTTTTAAATGCCAGAATTGGTATTTTTTGCTCCTTGGGGTCCCCTACAGTTGTATTTCACTTTTACACCACTGTTGTAAATACAAATTGTGCTTTGAGCCCCCATCATGGACAGCTGTACACATGCCTTTGTTGACAAGCCGAAGGTCACAGAATCTGACTCCCCTTAGGTTAGAGCCTACATTGCAATCTGTAATATATAACATCGGCAGGGATGTACACTCTGCTGTTGGATTTTTGTTGTTTTCCCATTAGCTGTTAGACTATCTAGCATCCTTATATCTCTCGCCAACAAGTAAAAGACAGTCCGAGATTTAGTTTTGTCCAGTCTCTTGATTGGTCACTCTCTCTTTTTGTCTTCTTCGCTTCCTCCAACATCTTCTTCAGGCTCTTCAATGTGTGGTGTGGTGCCATAAAGCGTTACGCATGTATCGTTAGAAGTTTCGTGCCAGCTCCTCCAAAGCTTCATAGCAGTATAGCAAGCATTCTGGAGTGGAAATGACAGAGACATCATTCTCCCATTTATAAGTCAGTGCACCATCAAAATGATTTTGAAGTTGTTATTTTAAGGTAAAATTGTTTCACAACATTGCAGCTGATTTTTATCCAGCATCTTTAAATGGTTCATGAAGTTATACCCTTTACTAAGGTGTGGTTTGCAGGTCCCTGGATGTTGTATTTTGTAATTTTTGTCCCTCAGGTACCTTTTGTACCAATCAATCAAACCTAGTAACTGAACGATGTTTCCCAGTAACTGAACCTTTTCATCCCTGTAACTGGAATTTATTTGAAATTACAATCACTTTTTCTTTTTACCATTTCACATGTTTGGACACTGCAGTATTGTGTTCTGTATAAACGTGCTTGACCCATGCCCAAATAATATGTTTCTATACTGCGTCATATATTCCAGAAACATTTAAAACTTCACACATAACCAAAACGAAAAGGTGCTTTGTTGAACCTTGATTGGTCCTTGAAGGAATGCAGGCCACAGCTAATGCTTTCTGTCCCACAGCTGGGCTTGCTGACCATCAGCTCCGGTTAGTAATACAGAGGCTAATGACTTCTGACCCTGTTCGAATTTTAGACTTAGCTCTAGGAGGCTGTCCAATTGCAACAAACCCTTGGTAATAACGTTGAAAAAAACAAGAGAGAGGGAACATTTCTAAGTTCAGCGTGAGGGCTTGGGAAAAAGGGGGCCTCTCTGTCGAACCAAAAAACAACCATGCGGTTTAAATATCTTCCTTTACTCGCAACACTGTGAATCCTTATTCCTAAATATTACTCGTTTTGTATACATTAGACTACCTTAGTATGAACATTTGTAACCTTTCTATTGTGTTTATTTATGTTGGATCATATTACATCACTTGTTATGGAATTTAGCAGCAGTTACAGATGTACCAGCCTAAAGACCTTTTCCAGTAATACGGTGTCGAATCATTTCTGTTTCTTCATATGAGCTTCAGAGACAGCTGGGATTTGTTTAAATCTCATTCAGAAGGTTTCAATTCATAAAATGAGAGAGAAGAAATGTTGTGAGAATATAGTGGTTTGTACAATCTGAAGTTTTCAGAAAGTGACTCAGACTGCAGACTGTAATTTTAGATCAATGCAACACTTTTCTTATGTGTTTTTTTAGTATGCAAACAGTGTTGAATTTAAAGGAGTAGTCCAGCATTTTTCCTAGTCTACATCTGTACTGCATCATCAGTTACCTTTTGACTAATCTCCCTGTGCTTAGAAAAGAAGAGAAAAGTATGCAATGCCATGCAAAATGTGCAGCACTGTCAATAAGCCCTATTCATAAAGTCACCATGGCAGTGATTAGCTGGTGTCATTTCAACGCTGGAGTATTTTTACTGGTGTTCTAGGCCAGTTGTGACCGACATGTAAATGAAGTCATACACATTAAAGACCCACACCATGTAAAACTCTGATTGGCTGCCAAATTGGATACAATAAAAGAAATCAAAAAAAGAAAATTCTCATAAACACAGCTGCAAACTGTTCTTTACTAAATATGGAGAAACACGATGAGATGATTGTTTATGTTAATGAGTCATATGCTAAAGATTTGACAGATGAGGTTGGAAAACACTGAAGTATTCCTTTAAAGTTACCAGGAGTTGTAATGGGCAACATTTTATATCTCAGCTCCTCTTCTAAATGTACCTGCTGTGGTTCAGATTACTAGCAGTGGTGTTTGATGCATCAAACTAATCTCAAGATAAGCTGCTGCTCTGACATAAACATAACAGATGCCACTATTGATCCATCCATTCAAAAAACGTCTGGTTGTCTCTCAGTGTAAGGAACCCTGAGACCCGTGAGAGAGCAGGCTCAGTTTCCGCTGGGAAGAAGCCCCAGTCTGGGACTGATCTGAGCCACATTTTGACCTGTTTGGCAGTAGAATGGTCAGCGTCATCTGTGTCCAGTTTAACGACATGTGCTGCATTCGTGGAAGGGTCTCAAAACATGTCTGTAAAGTGTGTTCAGCAAATGGTTGTTACAACATAATTGTCTTTTATTGGTCTGGCATCACTATGTCCTGACAAATGTGCTTTTAATTTGTTTGAGAATGTTTATGTATGTAATTAAAGTCCTTTTCCAGTAAAGCTTATATAATATAAAAGCATTTGTATTGCTCCAAGTGCAGACAATTTTTTTTTTTTTTTTATTTCTGCAATGAGATATATTACCACGTCTGTGGTAGACAGATTAGACAACAATGTCAGGATTATGAATACGAATGATAGTGGCAATGTCAGAAGGATTATTTTCAATTATAAAGTCATTACAATGTAAACTCCTAAATTCCTGTTAAAAACCCAAGCCAAGCAAAACACGCACTTAATCACTCAGAACTAAAATATTTCTTCATTTTGCTGGTTGGAACATGTGTCTTTATCAGAGCTTAATTTAGGAAGACTGGTGCAGCTCTCTAAAGGCTCCTCATCAGATTTTAGGAACTCTTCTCTCTCTGGCGGCCTCATGAAATAACTCAAAAGAGAAAAAGAAGAGCAGATTCCTGCCTTTCGGGAGAAGGGAGGAAGGCTTTAGGTCTGAGGAATTCGGTGGGAACGTTTACGCTTGCCAGAGAGGAACTGACTACAGCTCACACACTCAAAAGAGCTGAAGCTGTCCTTTAAAAAGCACCATTCAGAGCAGAAGAGCTTTTGTTACTGCGCAAGCTTAAGTCCGTTCACTCTTCACCGATGAGAAAGAAGCACGGCCATCATTGTGTGGCCTTCTCTTTCCCGAAATCTATCAGGCCTCTGTCTTCAGTCTGTCACAGCTTTGTCTGGGATCTTACTTTAAAGAGAACATACTGAACATCAAAAACTAATATAATGATAAAAAGAAATGCATTTGTAACATTTTTGATAGTAGCCCAAGCTGTAGGTCATTAAAATATTATGTAGATCGTGTGGTCATCCCAAAGCTGCTCTGTTTACTGTATCTAAGTACTTGTTCTAAGGCAGGTGTCCTGACATAGTGACATGAGTGGTGCTACAAAGACATATTCCTCATAAAACACACAGAGAAAATAATTTTGACGAGTGCACACAAGCTCTGCTGAGTAGCTCCACCTATAGACCATGAAAGACAGTCATACTGAACGTGAATAAGATCTGCTTACTATTGGATTATTCTTCTGTTACTTCTGTAACAGATATATAGGTGTGTGTGTGGTGGCCTGTGGGGGCAGGGAGAGGGAAATAGGGACTCACAAAATAGTGTTTAACCCTAAAAAAGTACCGCTCTCAGAAAAAGGTTAAGAACCCCTGTTCTAAGGTAATATGGCATTAGGCCTTAGGTTGCATGAGCACCTGTGCAAAGCTTTCCTTGCTTACTCATAATAACCCTTAAGTTTCACTGCTTTAACCCCTTAAATGGCCAGGCCCAAAGTTTTATGACACAATTCTGTAACCTAGGAGGGTTAAAAATGCATGGGTGACACTTATGCAATTGCGGGACACAAAGCAGGACAATCTTTACTTATATTTTGTTTACCACTTTTCTGAGAAGAATGATGTCATTATAATGCTGTTTTGCATTGGTAGATGAACTCTCCCGCTGTTCTTGTTCTTCACTGAGCCTCAATCATGAAATTCACGTAGAGCCCTTTTCTAATGCCCACTGGAATTCCAGCAGAAATGTGAATGAGAATCAGCCTTGACTGATGAATTACTGGAAGCTGGGAGAGATATTACAATGTTCTTTCCTTCCAATATAACTCGCTATTTTTGGATATACATTGACCTCATCTCTCGTGCAAGAGATTTCGAAACCGTACAGACATGAGCAGCCTGAAATATGTGACTGAGGCAGATCCAAACTGACAGAAAGCAGAGAGAAGTATGACTCATTTTTGGTTTGTACTATAAATATATATTCTCATATAAAGCAGGTGAGATAATGGAACCAAATTCCAGACAAGCTGGAAGTGATGTTCTGTTCCCGAGCTAAATTCCGTAGTTTTGGTGACGGTTTTATACGCTGTTAATGTTATGGGTTCTGCATGAAAGGACTGCTATAAAGACTGCAGTTTCACCAAATGGAAACATCGTTAAGTGTGCAGAGCTGCGTTGTAGCTCTGATGTTCTAAAAAGGGGAGTTGATGGTGGGTTGAAGGTGGTCATAACAAAGTTTCTTCTTTAAGCTTCTTAAAACATTTTTTCTGATGAAAGTTCTAGTGTATGATAAAGCATGTAGAAGCAGCATCTTCAGGATAGTTTGAAGGAAGGATAGTCTGAAGAAAAGCATCTGGCAGTCATTAAAATCTACTTTAAACATGTAGTGGAGAATGTAAAAAAAAAAAATGTGGATGGAAATTATATAAACATATAAATCTTTAACCTTTCTGAGCCCCAGATGTGTACAGACAGAACTGTGTTATATATTGTATTCTTGTGGAAATTACTGATTTAAATCCAGTTAACTCAATGCACTTTTCATTGTAGCATAAACATTTAAATAAACATAGAAGCCTACATATGTTACAGGTTTTAGGCATTTAGTTTCTTCCAGAATCCCTAAAAGGTTCTCAAGGACTGAATGAAAATGTTTCCTCTAGGAGTTCTGAAGCTAAAGTGCTTGATGGAAACCAGTCAGGTTCCTGCAAGAGCTCATTTGCTTTCAAGGGTTCCTTCGGTAACTTTATCACATGGGACATTATTTTGAGACATCTGAAATCTATATTTACATCCTGAGTGCCTGATTGGATATTCAGGCACTTTATGTTTTTATAGATTAGTCTTCAGGAAAGTTGAGTTTGGCAGGGTTCAGGGTTCACTCAGAACTATCTTGCCTATATTTGAATTAAAGGGGAATTCCTCCAATTTTTTCAAATTTCAGCATAATTCAATCAATGCGATGTAAAAAGTCTCTTGGAGTGGTTTAATGTAAAATGGTTAATTGTAGAGAAACTTACTGACTTTACAGTGGTGATGATGGAAACCAAAGGTTATAGAACAAATATAGCAATTTTATTTACCATCCAAATTCACCAATGAACTTACACCTGTCTTCTGTTGATAATGGTAAAATAGTGGTAAATAGTGAAAAATATATACCTTCTATGGGGACACCCTGCATGTACCTCTCCACCATGTGTCTAAAAACGTTTTACACCAACACCTTCTCTCAAAACTATTGTAAAGGTATATCTCAGACATCAGGCAGAATATCAATAACCATTTCATATAATGGCTTTCCATGAGAGAGCTTTTAGAGGCACTAAATTCTTCAGACATCTGGTCCCATTCATCACCACTGTTCCTCTATAATGACACTTTCACTAATGACTGAATAATAGCTAAATTTACAAAAATCAGTGGAATTCCCCTTTGATGGGACGAAGTAATACTATTCTTTTCCTTATTATCTTTTTTTGTTCTGAATATTACGTCTTATGTTCTCATTAGATCATTACAAATTTCACAAACATGAGGGTCTCTGAGCCTCAACAGTCTAAAAACGCTCAATCTTTTGTCAACTGCAGCCACAACCCCTCATCACTGCTCAGTTAGGCATTCATTACCATTCAAAAGTTTGGAAGCAGTTGTCAACAACAATCATCAATGTTCAATATTTCAAGTATTTCAGACACAATAAGAAATGATAAAATGACAAACAGTTTGGGGTAATTACTGATTTAAAATCATGTTCTATTAAAGTTTTGGCCTCAAAATTGGATCACCACTTTTGAAATATGATGAATTCAGAATATAAATGTAATTATATTTGTTGTATAATTGTATTAATTTTATTCAATGGCTTTCCCTGGCATTTTAGAATTTTATACAGCTCTATTTATCATTCTGGAACCTTCTACGGTGTTTTTTTTTTCAGATTTTCAGTTTCTAATTATTCCTATTACAACAACCTACTACACCTGTGTAGGACAAGCATATTAGAATCATTTGGGTGCTTATGTGTTTATACCCAACAAATGGGGTTTATATTATTGAAAACATTGATTCCAAACTTTTGAACAGTAGTGCAGTTTTGTTTTGAGTGGGTTAAACCTGTTCTGTGACATCCACTTGTGCTTCAAACAAGACCCTATAAACTGGTCTTTAAATCAGGACCCCCTGTTCTTTTCTTTTCCTCTCTTTCAAACACTCTCATAATGTATCAAACATGTCCATACGAAACAGTTTTGTAAACACATGAAAAGAGGGAATGTGATCTTATTAGTTCTGTCTTATAAGTGGTGTCTCAGCTATGACCGGTTGTGGTGTTTTTTGAACTGCTGTGAAACAGTGCACATGATTTTCCTGCATGTTGAAAAGCAGAGTGCTGTTTCTTGTTTAAAGTGGAACGACTGGATTGCTTTAAATCCTGTGTTTACACAAACCGTTCTCCATCAAACAGCCATGAGCTGGATGTGCTGGGAGAAAAACAGAGTCATAAGGCTGTGAGTTCACATCAGAATAACTGCACACTATGTTGCAGCTCTGGTCCTTTTGCAAGTCATAAATGTATGTTTTGAGTGACAAATATATGTTATCAGTCATATATATGTATTATTTTCCAGCCACCTCTACACACAGGCCTGAACACACTGCTCCTGTCCCGTAGGCCTCCAGGGAGATTAAGTATGGACGTCACGAGGCGCTTAATGTTTAAATGTGTCTGCAGTTTTCTCAAACAGAGCGGCTGTTTGTCTATCCCTGCCCTAACATGGCAGCGCCCCTCGTGCCATTTTGCAGAGCGATCGCTCGCAGCCATCCAGCGAAAGGCGTTCGCATGACTGTGGCAAGAGCCATTGCTAATTTATAAAAGCCAAAAGGATGGATTCAATATTCATGAACAATCTGTCCCACCACAACCAGTCATTTCTGAGACTTGGGGGCAGTGCGATAGCTGCGCAGCGACACAAAGGAAAAGTTGTGCCTCCCCGCATTCAGAAACGAAAAAACGTCCCATCCCGACAGCGTGCTAAAAGACAAGGCAACCCAAACTCTGCCCCAAACCCTGCGCTTCATCTGCTGTCTGCTGCATCGACTGTTTTAGGGAAGAAGAAGAGAAGAAGCTGCAGAACAAATTGCTGGCGGAGAGCCAAGCAGGGACTTGATTCCTTCCCAGGAAAAGTAATGAGAGAGTGAGGAAGAAATGCTGAATATTTTTGTTTTATGGGCCAGA